CTCTGATCAGCTAGCTGCTGCACTTCATCCTGACAACAATTGGCCTAAATTATTACTCCCTCCGTCCCATTTTATGTGGCAACATTTGACCGGGCACGGAGTTTAATAAATAGATAAAGACTTTGAAATGTTTATCAAATTGCCCTTCAAAAAAATAGATATATTTTTCTCTCTCCTAATAAATGTATTGGAGTACTCTTTTCAAGATTAAGTGGGACCAACAAGGGTAAAAGAGAAATTATACCTTTAAATACTTACCAAATAAGGAAATGTGACATTCTTTTTGAGACTGACCAAAAAGGAAATGTTGCCACATAAAATGGGACGGAGGGAGTACCAATCTTTTATAGGTGTTTCAGTACTCACTACAAGAAAATGTACATACGACATTAATTTAGTGACATTTGAAATAAATGTTGGAAAATAAAGAATTTTACGATATTTAGGAACAAAATGTCATAAAACAATGACATTTGATGTCAAATGTCGTAAAAATAATGACATTTGGTATCAAATATCATAAAAATAATAACATTTGGTCCAAAATGTACTATGATAATGACATTTATTGCAAAATATCGTTGTTTTTAGCGACATTTAGCAAAAATGTCATTTAAATGATGACATTTGCTACAAATGTCGAATATAATATGACATTTATTACAAAATGTCATTGGTTTTAGTGACATTTAGAAAAAATATCGCTTAAATAGTGACATTTAATATAAATGTCGAATATATTATGACATTTACTGCAAAAGGTCATTGATTTTTAGTGACATTTAGAAAAAATGTCACTAAAATAGTGACATTTGTTGTAAAATGTCATTGATTTTAGCGACTTTTAGCAAAAGTGTTGCTAAAGAAGCGACATTTAATACAAATGTTGAATATATTACACTAGTAGAATTTCGTTTGCAAAATTGTTGCTAAAATAGTGACATTTCATACAATTATCGAATATATTATGACATTTATTGCAAAATGTCATTGATTCGATCGACATATAGTGAAAATTTCGCTAAAACAGTGACATTTTTATACAAATATCGAATATATTATGTCATATGTTGAAAAATGTCATTGATTTTTATGACATATGATGAAAAGTACTGTTAAACGACTACAACATTTTATGTCTACAACCACCCTAGAAAAGTGTAGCCTTTGATAAAAGGCCACACTTTTTGACTTTAAGCCACGCTTTTCCAGGGGTGGCCGAAAGAAGCATAACCTTAGAGTTTAGGCGACACTTTTCAAGTGTTGCCTTAACAGCTACGCTTAAAAGCATAGCCTAAAAGGCAGAAAGGCCACGCTTTGCAGTACCTCATATAGCTTAACATTTCTATCTCATACAACTACACTTTCAAGGGTGGCCTTTGCTTCCTTATTGCCCACGATTTTAAAGTGTTGCCTTTTCTATCTTATGTATGACAACACTTTGAAGTGTAGTCCTTGCTCATGTGCATACCACAATTTACAGTTATTTGGCTGCACTTTTAAGTATGGTAATATTATTTTTACTATAAAATATTTATATGCCACAATTTCTAATTAAAAAACATCAATATTATTTTGCAATAAATAATCTCAAACACTAAATTAGCTAATAAGTAATTCAAATATATAGATTTGTAATAAACTTCAAAAGATAGTATGTCTTGTGTACATACACATACTTGTTTGACAGAGAATTTAAACTAGTTTGTTGAATTAATCCAACACATTGACACTGAAGCAATAGTCCATTACATTGATATATTACACCCTATATTCCTAAACACGTTGAATGGTTCCCTGTATCTAGACGTGAAAATATCCATTATGATGTATTCAAATTGTCTCATTGAACTAACTACATATCTGAAGCTGTCTCACTGCCAGCAAAATGTGTACCTTGTACTCTTTGCTTCAAGTAGTATGAACCATGTCTATTTGACCCTATAAGTAATATGAACTATGTCTATTTGTATAATTTTCACTCGAACCCTAAAGTACTTAGGTCCAATAAACACATTCATCCTATGTGGTGTCCTGTATGATAATTTTGTGTCCTATGTGACGTCCTACATGTATTATGTTGTAGGACGTATGAGTCAACTTGTTCAATTTTATACAAGTTGAAGTGTCTATTTGTGCATGCCAAAAATTGAAGGACATATATGTCAGATGAATTCAAATTTAAAAACATATTTATGTATTATGTCAAATATTAATCTAAAGACATCACAAATATGGCCGTGTAAGATGGTAATCGATCCGTTATACCAACACCAAATGAACAGAAGGACAAATTTAGATGTGCATGAAATACTTTTAATTAATGGTGAAAGATATATACAAGTGAGTAAGCATACATGTGATCTACACTCTAACCAAAAAGAGCAATTATTTTTTGTTGTTGTCAAAATTAATCCTCCAATAATTCCTTTCATCTTCAAAAATTACTTTCACTTTGCAATTTTTTTCTTGTCTTCAAAGCATACTGCTTAAAAATATAGAGAGAAGAGCTAGTATTGATCACTTTGCTATAGTCTGTCTATAGTTTCTTTCAATTGAGTACTAAACAATGACTAAATGTTCTTCTCTTCATTTTTAATTGCACTTAATAGGTACTATTTCCTAATTATTTGGCCACATTTCCTTTTTTAATTATCCCTAATTATTTGTTCATTTTGATAAATCAAGAAATGACAATTTTTTACCTATTATACCCTCAATTAATTACATTGAAAAATGTAGAACTTTTTGAAAATCTTAAGTTTTTATTCATCAACTTCATAATTAATAAGGGTAAAATGGTAAACTCACTATATCAATTATTGTTTTCGTAATAGACGTGTCAATTCAAAAGTGGACAAGTAATTAGGAACATAGTACTCCTTCCGTCCGAATTTAGTTGTCCATATTTCTTCTTTTAGTTGTCCCTATTTAGTTGTCCATTTTGACAAATCAAAAAAGGATAACAAATTTTTTCCTATTATACCCTTATTTAAATGAAGTTGTCATAAATAAAGTAAATAAACTTATGAACTTCCCAACATTGATTAGTTATCTTGAGTGAATTTATTTTGAAATTGTAAATTGTACTATAAGGGTAAAATTGTAACTTCACTATGCTAATCATTGTTGCCTTAATCTGTGTGTCATTTCTAAAGTGGACAACTAAATAGGGACGAGTAATAAACGATGACCAAGAAAGAATAATTAATTATTTTTCTTGTTTTTTCCTCTAATGGAGGACAGATGGAAGATTAATAAAATATTATTTATCTTCTTAAAGTTTAGAGGCCCACTTAATAATTGCTACAAAACAAAGATGCTAATCAGCTAAAGGATATATTGTAGAATAATAATTTATACTCCCTTTGTTCGCTTTTATTTGTCCTAATTTTACTTGACACACCCATTAAAAAAATAATTATTAATATAGGTATTTTATTAAATTGTCCCTATTAAACGATGTTTAGTATTAAGTATTGGAAAGTGACTTGGAAATAGAGTATTTAATATTGAGGGTAAAATATGGAAAAATATAATTGTCTTTTTATGATATGTCAAAAGTAACAAATAAAATGAAAATTTATTTTAGGAATAAGTGAAAGTGAACGAGAGTATTAATTTTATCTACCCGAGTTAAGAGGTTCAAATCAATGATTTCTTTATCTTGTCTTTTTAGCATTGCAATTAGGGGTGTATAAAATCGAACCGAAAATCGAATCAAGCCGTAAATCAAAAAAAAAACCTGACTAGTGGTTTGGTTTGACTTGGTTTGGTATTGGAAAAAAAAATCCGACTATATTTGGGTTGGGTTGGGTTGGTTTTAACTTAAAAAAAACCAACCCGAGACCAAACCAACCCGACATTATATATGTAATTTTAAAATTTTATTTTATACATAAAAATATTTACTTTGATATAATTTTAAAATATTTCTTATACTATTTCATAGTTTTTATCTTTTAATATATTATTTCAAGTTTAAAACTTAGAATTCGGAATGGTCCAATAAAGATTATAGTTCATAGATGTTGATAATTATAATTAAATTTAAATCAAAATCAAATTAATACTAATGCAAAAAGAAAATCAATTCAACACTAAGAATGACAATAATATTGAATATTTGTTCTTTAGTTTTACATTGGTTTAGACAATTAAAATACATAATCTAATTTTAATTTTCCTTAAATATTTAGTAATGTAACTAATACTTATTAAACTTATTTTAGCATGATTTAGTACTTTTAAATTATGATCATTTTCATTATGACTTTGCAATATTTATTTTATATAATGATTTCATTATTATTTATTATTGAATATTTTTGTTCACCAGTACTCATCTCATATTTTGTGTTATTTTTTTTTTAAGAAATACCTTAGATAATTGTATTTTGGTTGGACTAAAGAAATATTTGGAGCACAAGTTAATTATGAAATATGTCTATTTGTATAACAGATGAATGAAGAATATAAAATGATGCAACTTCATTGTTTCATTATGGCCACTGGTAATGGCTAAGAAATGATTTTTTCCCCCTTTGTTTCAATTTGTTTGACCTACTTTGACTTGACATGAAATTTAAGAAAATAAAAAAGATTTTTAAATCTTGTGGTCTTAAACATGTCGTGTGAAAAGTTGAAGTTAAAGAGTTGCTAAAAAAAGATAGGGTCATTCTTTTTTAAACAGATTAAAAAGAAAAGTAAGTCAAATAAATTAAACGGAGGAAGTAATTGAAAGTCTAAACCTACTAAAAAGAAAATTAGGTCAAGAGTCGGTGTCATACTAATTAGATCATTGAAATATCTCATGATTTACAGAAGAAAGTCCTCATTTGCTGCTACCAATTTCACCACTTTGTCAAACATCATTTAATTGGCAAAGAAAAGTCAAATAAGACAAAGTTAAACATTATTCTTGTCATTGATTTCACTCATGATATTATTCGTATTAGAAAGCAGAATGATGTATATCATAGGCTGTATAAAAAATAGTTTGGTAAGAAAAATAGATTTTTAGCGATCATCTGTTATCGGAACTAGCAATATGGATCCTAACTCATTAGCTCTTAAGCTAGCCAACTTGTATAGGTGTTTCAGTACTAATTCCCATTTGACAGAGAATTTAAACTTGTTTGTTGAATTAATCCAACATATTGACGCTGAAGCAATAGTCCATTACATTGATATATTACACCCTATGTTCCTAAACACGTTGAATGATTCCCTGGCTAATCTAGACGTGAAGATCACTGCCCTGACGGCGATGAGTAACTTCATTCAACAGGTGGGGAGTTCAAAAGATAGGGAGAGGTTTCAGGATCTGTTGCCTGCGATGATGGACATGCTGAATAAGGCATTGGAAGAAAATTGTGAGGCATCAGCTCAGTCTGAGTTGGAGATTTTGATTGAGTTGGCCAAGAATGAGCCTAGCTTCTTCAGGATGCAGCTTGTGGTTGTGGTGGGTTCCATGTTTGATATAGCTGAATGCGAGAGTTATGAAAAGAAAACGAGACGTTTGGCGGTTGAATTCGTGATGACATTGGTTGAGGCCAGGGAGAAGACCCCTGGCATGATCAAGAAGTATCCATTGTTTACTGAAAAATATTTTGCAATTTTATTGAATTTGTTAGAGGATGAGGTTTATGACCCTCTCTTGCCTGATCCTTATGATAAATGGGATAACAATTATGATTTCCTTTTTCTTAAGATGTGTTTAAGGCGGTTGTCCAATGCGCTGGGTGGTAAGACTGTTGTTCCTGTTGCCTTTGAGCAGCTCCGTGCTCACTTGGCTGACGACTCGTGGCAGAAGCCATGCGCAGCACTCTATGCACTTGCTCAGATTGTTGAAGGCTGCTCAGAGGTGTGTATTTATTGATACACTACTAAGAATTGCATTTAAACTGATTAGTTAACGATCTTGGGATAGCAGAAGGTCACCTTGATTATACTTTCTTCTGTTATTCTCTAGACTAAGTACTTTGCTTGCTCTCATCTCTTCTTCATTATAATAGGTGATGATTAAGAATATGAATCTAGTGGTGACAATGGTTCTGGATTGTATGGGACATCCTCATCCTGGAGTTAGATTCGCCTCCATGGAAGCAATTCGCGAGTTTTTGAGTTTCATGCGTCCCCATTTTCAAGAACAATGTCATCACCAAGTAGTGCCGGCATTAATTAAAGCTATGGATGATGAGAGTGTACAAGTGCAGGTCTGTATGTCCTACGATGATATGAACTCCTTTGGATGCTAGTATCATATGTCCCAAATTACAGTTGCGAAATTTTCTTACTGAACCTTCTCAATGGGCTTAACTTTAACTTTATTAGATTTAATCCCTGCTCTAACTTTACTATCTTCATATTTTCCTAGGTCAGTGTCATACGCACGGTCTGGCACTTCCTTCACGTTCGCACGCCTGAATATTTGACACTTTACATCCATGGATTACACAATAAATTGCTTCAACTGTCGTCACATACTGTTGCGGTGGTACGTATTGTAGACTAAGTGCAAGAGAAATCAGATCATTTTCTTGAACAATGAACAGACAATATTACGAATACATTAAGGGAAACAACCATAATTTCCAAGTTCCCAATATAATTATCCCGCCCTCCTTTATAAATTCAAAGTTTGTTACTCCCTTGAATGTCCTTGAGGTCTCTACTTGCCTGATTTATTTTTGTTTTTGACATGAAAGGTCCAAAAATCAGCGTCAACTGTACTCAATTGTTTGGGTGAGCATTTTGAGGTATTACCTAGTAATTCTGCTTCAACTTTTATTAAGAGTATGTTGTATTAAGCTGGTTTTATATTTCTATTAATATTAACATTACTTCAACAGGAGTTCTATGGGAACAACTACGAATCTAATAAACCACTTTTGAAAGCTTCACTGGTAGAAGCAAATTTTCCAAGTAAAGATGTAGAGATGATCATGTCAGTGTACGAACCTGGCAGTTCGGTACTTCCAAAACAGGTCTTCCACCAGTTATACCAAATGGATTCTATACATCTCACTGAACTTAGAGCTTATTGTTTATTCGTTTTCTATTTTTCTGTTGTTGACATAATGTCACTATAAGATTATGGAAGCAGTTATGTCATTACAAGGATCACAAGAGGATGATGAGGATACAAATACCATCTACAAGCTAATGGTATGTGTTGTTGAGAATATCGTTAACTAATAAAATGGTGTTCTCTCTAATAGCTTAAGCTTTTAGATGAGATGGTCACACACTTCAACATGTTATCAGAACAGGCAGAGGCCCTGGGATCAAATCTCTTCGCCACCCAAATTAAAAAGAATTTCCACGTGCTAATCAGTCAGAAATTCTTTCAAGATTGGTCTTTCTATATTTCTTGATCTCATTCCAGGTTGTCACACTTGGACTTCTCTCTTTTTCTTTCTTTCTACCCGTGATTTTGATCGCGAACTGAAAATTTAACAAGTGGTTTCAATGGCCTAATGCTTGATAAATGATACAGACTGCTTCAATTTTATTTCCACTTTTGAAATTCCATTTCAAAGGGGTCAGGTTCCATACAGTTTGAAGGTGAGATTTCTCAGGATTTCACATAGTTAATTTCTACCGTCTTTTATAACTATCTGATCAACTCCAAGACTTTTTAATTTGTAATGTTTATAGCGATGAAGCACATTTTGCAATCTGCTAAACTGGCTGATGAGAAAGGGATTGCTCCAGGTGAAAGCCATTCGGATTTCAAGCAGTTTTCAGACAGTATAATACTGAATTTGGTGGAAGCTTTGCATGAGGTTTACTTTTAACATTAAGCTTCTTCTTTTTGGATAATGAGAAAGTAACACTTTGATTTCTATATAATGCAGGAGCTTGAAACAGAGATATATGTACATATGTTGAATACATTACGACTGTGCCTTCAGGTTCGTGATCTTTAAACACTGCTTATTTGTTTTTGATCCAAAGTTTTCAGTGTTTCACTATGAGCTAGGTATGAAGTTTTTTGGAACTGTTGCCTTTAAGTCTGTTGCTTAAAATGTTCCATTAGTATCATCAAAGTGAGAAAATAGCAATGGTGACAAGTCGAGTTAGAATGGCAAAACAGGATTTTTCAGGTTGTATATGGTCCTTGTGTTTCTTCTTTCAGATATGTGGTCCACTTCTCAATAAAGACCAGCTTCGTCCGGTCGTGGATGAGATAAAGCATGTCATTACAGAAAATTTAAATAGCCAAGGAAAACTCAGAGAGAGAGAAAAAACAGAAGACTTTGATGCTGAGGAAGCTGAATTGCTGAGAGGGGAAAAACAGCGACAAGATCAAATAATTTTCCTTGTATGTTCTATTTTAAAACAGGAACTAAAGTGATACACTGTTGTCTATATATTCAAGCATTTTCGCTTTGTTTATGCTGTTATTCTTGAACAGGCTGGTCACATATTACGTAGACTTATCGAATCATTCAAGGTTGTTTTCTTGCCTTACTTTGACGAGCTATCATTATATCTGATTCCGATGTGGGTAAGTTCATTGACATTATTCTGACATGACGTTAGTTTATTTACTATTATTCATATCTAGGATATCTTACTGTTTCCGATTTTGTTAAGGGAAAAGAAATGACAATTCAAGAGAAATCTACATCACTTTATATCTTTGATAGTCTTGTGAAGGAGTGCTCTGAAGCAGCTCTAAAGTGAGTTTAATTTGTCTGTATGAGTTTCTGGTGTATCACCATTTTTATAAATTACTTACTTCTTATGCCAACTTAGGTACTGTGATGTATTTCTACCTTTGCTTCTGAAAGCAAGCAATGACGACAACCCGACAGTTAGACAGGTTTGGATCATAGTGATTGTTTACATTCCTGTTACTCAAGTTGGTTGCTCACAATGACTTTATGTTCAGAAAGCTTTATATGGACTTGGGCTTTATGCAGAATATGATGGTTCTGTTTTCCAACCTTATGTTAGAGGTATTAATATTGTTGAATGTGATACCTTCTAATCAAGCAAGTGTTTTTGTTAACTTACGCGTTTATGTTCAGAGGCTATGTCACGGATCAATGTAGTGATAATGCATTTACGTGCTCGTGAACCTGAGAATGAACTTGCATATGATAATGCTGTTTCTACCCTTGGTAAAATATTTCAGTTTCATCGAGAACTTATCGACTCAGCCCAGGTTTGTCCTTCTCAGAATCCCTAATGTTAAGTCTTGTTATAATTTCTGATTCTGAATCCTTGTGTAGGTCATTCCCATTTGGTTGAATTGCCTGCCTATAAAAGGTGACCTTGCTGAAGCCAAATATGTTCATGGTCAACTATGTTCCATGGTTGAAAGGTATTGGATTTGTTTGGAAACTCTAATATGTTATAACTTTCATAAAATGCAGGATTATTTTATCCAACGTTTTGTTGGAAATATTATATTATCATAAGACTATTTATTCCACCATTTATACCTTAAAATGTGATAAGTTATTTCATCCCGAAATAGTTGATGTCAGGATAACTTATTCCGAACCAAACCATCCCTTAATGATTTATCAAATTTTCTCAATTGCAGGTCAGATAGAGAACTTTTGGGTACCAATTATGAACACTTCCCAAAAATTATGTCAGTTTTTGCAGAGGTTAGTTCCATATCAGAATCTATAGATGCCAGTTTGAGTTGTTTATTTGCTCATGTTACATATTAAATGAGATAAATATTGAAAACATAATTATTAATTTCATAATCAAACTATTAACAATCTTAAAAACACTCATTTCTTTGACTAACTAAACTTAAATACACTCCCGATCTTGCAACATGACCAAAATACATCCCTAATTTAAGGGTGCTTTCAACACTCCTCTATGTAATGTGGCAGATCAGAGATGTATTTAAGTTTAATCTGGTCAAGTAGATATGTGTTTTTAAGACTATCAATAATTCAAGAACGAAACGAACAATTTGTGTCAAGTTTAAGAGTGTTTTTGAATCAAACTAAAGACATTTTTTATTCCATTTTTAAGGTTATATGTGGTGGAAAACATCTTGCTACAGAAGAAACAACAAAGTGTATGATTAATCTGTTGAGGAATCTTCTTAAAGAACTACCACCAGACACTTTGACATCAGCATGGTCATTGATATTGCCTCAGCAAGAAATGGAACTAAAAGCCATTTTATTTCCTGGAATACTTCATGTGGTACGTTTTCACAACAAAACATTTTGTATGCTTGACACTGATACCAATGAAAGCTCTCCCCCTTACTCTTTACCATCCAAAATTGTCAAACTTCTTGAGGAAGAACACCAGAAAAATAGTATTATTGTTCCACAAATGTAACTTATAAACCATAAATTGTATCTTTAATTAAGTTTTGTATCATTTAAGTATACAAGATGATACTATAGTTGATTTGTGGGGAATTGAATATGTAATTATCATTAAACTATCTATTTTATATCTTTTTTACGATTTATCTATCCATTTGGAATTTCTTTATTTTTAATTTTTCATAAGTTGAAATTCATATTGTGGCATATAATTTAAATAATTATTTATTCAAATTAAACAAGTCAAACCTTAAGGACCTAAAATCTAAACCTGACGGCATAAACCATAAACCTTGAGGGGTCGTTTGGTGTGAAAGATAACTTTAAATAGTCCTGCGATTAAATTATAATGTCACTAAATTTGTTGTTTGATTGGCAATTTGGTGATAAGTTATCTCGTGATTAATAATTAATACAAGGATAAATTATCCCTTCCCTTGGGTGGTACAATAATCCCGAGAAAACTTATCACGAGATAAAATGACTAAATGACAAAAATATCCCTTCAAACACTTTTTATACATTACTTTTCATATTCATGAACGGTATTTTTCTAAGCATCATAACTTGAATTCAAACCAAACGACTGCACCTTAGAGCCCAAAAAATAAACTCAAAATCATAAACTCTAAACCTTAAACCTTAGGCCTCAACCTTAAAATCTAAACCATAAACCCAAAACTCAAAAGCTTGGGGCCTAAAACCTAAGATCTACGATTTATGGTTTAGGATTTAGGATTTAGACTCTAAAATTTATATTCTAGGGGTTGTAGTTTATCGTTTTGACTATAAGATTTAGGATTTAAGATTTATAATTTTAAGAGTTTAGGCCTTATGGTTAAGTGTTTAGAGATAAGATTTATAATTCATGTATAAATTAAAATATAGGGTTTAGGCCCAAGGTTCATATGGTTTTATGATTTATCAAAAGCCAATTTGAGGTCAATTTTTAAGCACAATTGAACCAAACCCATTTGAACCCAAAATAAATTTGAACGGATTGATCAACTTCGTGTATTTTTTTCTACACTTTTGACTCTTCATCACCTTTCTACAATTACAATTGTTTCACAAATCCTTTTTTTAAAATCTTTCAAACATAATTATAAAAAATATCTTAGTAAATCCATTCTATTTCCTAATCCCTTTCATAAAACAAATAATCAAAATAGCCTCAGAAGGAAGGCAGTAGTATAGTCATAATCATTATTTTGACCATTAACGCAAAACTACTCATCATCGGACAAAAAAATAATAAATTAAAAGAAACAAAAAACAATTATTATTGTAATGCTTGAAAGTTTTGCAATTTTCCTAATTCAAAATTATTGACTATCGATTTTGATAATGTATTTCCCAAAATTGTTGTGTGAAATACACGAGTAAAATACATCTGAACTCAAAATTCAAAATACATTTCAAAACTCAAAATTAAGAGTCAAATTTGTGCATAAAATTTAGGACTTGAAATCTAAACTCAAAATTTGAAACCATATACCTTAGGGCATAGATCCTAAACCTTAAGAGCCTAAACTTTAAACATTATGTCCAAAATTATGAACCCTAAATCTTGAACCTTAAATCCCAAGTCATAAACCCTAAAATCTTAGAACTTAAACCCAAAACTCTAAACCTTAAAGCCTAAACCTTAAACCTTAAACCTTAAACCTTGAAAGCCTAAATCTTAATGTTTAGGATTTATGATTTATGGTTTTTGATTTTAAAATTTAAGATTTAGAGTTCAGACAATATGGTTAAGAGTTTTAAGTTTTATGATATAAGATTTAGGCCTTAAAATTTGAAGTTTAGATTTTAACAATTAGGCTCTAAAAACTTTAAGATTAAAAATACAGCATTTGAACATTATAATAAATAATTATGTAGTACCCCAACGACCAAATACACCACAAAAATTAGATGCAAAGGATAGCGAGGGGAACATTATTATAGCTTCACTTGCTAAAGTATCACACTACAAAAAGTGAAATCCACAAAATATAATTAGCAAAAGCATAGTACAATTAACAACATATCCAATAAAATCACAGTAAATTTATGCAAATCTTATCATTATCTCGTAAAAATAAAAATAAAATATGAAAACTACTTAGTCCCTTAGATGTTCAATTAATTGCGATCATCTTCGCAAATCATTACAGGTCTGTAACTGTAAAAAATTAATCATCACTGTTGTTTCCATTGAATAAAATATATAAAAAAAATTTTGATGAACAAACTCAGTCCCTTAGATGTTCAATTTGTTGCGATCATTTTCGCATATCATTACAGGTCTGTAACTGTAAAATATTACTCATCATTGTTTATTCATCAAAAAAATATTCTGAATTTTTTTTTTTTTAAAAAAAAGTTGTAGCTGCTCCAATTGTTCTCCACAGATTAAATTAAATGAGGAGAAAGATGAAAAAGGAACAACACACTTATAATGCTTCAAGGGAACGAGTTGGTCAAAAATAAATTATTTCTTGCCAACCAGATTAAAGAAGCATATAACTCAAAATATATACACAAAAATAATAAATTTATTTAGAGTTTAGAAGATATATCACCATTGTTGAAGATTTCAATCGGCAGCTGCAGAAGAGAGAAATTGTTGTGTTTTGAAGTACACGCAAAACTCAAAAACAAGAAAATTATCCATCTAGCTGGATATGATTATTATGCATAATGAATAAAGGAAACAGCTTAAGAGAAAAACTGGTCCGTTAGATCTCCTCTTTCAATCGCAATCTTCTATTTCTGCACAGCAAAGAAACACTTCTCAAATATATTTTACGAAAGATTTAACAGGTAAAAGTGTACAAGCTCAAAATATGATGCAATTAATCTTGAGTCAGTTACCTGTTAAACCAGTGTTGCCGCTTTTTATATGCAAGGGGTAAATAAGGACCTTGGGCTCTGCATTTCCATATCCTTCTTGCACTTCTTTAAAGTCCTTAACTGATTTTTCAAGAGACTCACCACATCGTTTTACTTCAACCATCTTTAGATAATGCATATGTCCAACCATGGAAGGAATTTCTCGAAGATTAAAGCAGTTTTCTATAAGAATGTGTTCGAGGTTGGGAAAGGACTCATCTGATGCATTCCATGTTGTTATTGTAAGGGATCTTAATTTAAGAACCTTGAGGTTCAGAAACTCTTCATCTTCGATCTCCCATTTGTCCTGCTGAAATACTCTATGTTCCAACTTCAGAACCACTAAATTTGGTAATCTTCCGATATTAGACAGTTCACTTTGTGGCAACAAAACATCTGATAGAGTTAGCTTTGTTAGTGTCGCGGGCAAGGTGAAATTCAAAATCATACCGTTTACACTGAGTGTTTCAAGTTGAAGAGCATTTAATTTGAGTTTGAGAGGCTCTTTACAGTGGCATTTGAGTTTTCGCAGTCTGCTTTCTGTTTTATTTAAGAAATACTCCCTCCGTCCCATTTTATATGATGTACTTTGATACCGTTTACACTGAGTGTTTCAAGTTGAAGAGCATTTAATTTGAGTTTGAGAGGCTCTTTACAGTGGCATTTGAGTTTTCGCAGTCTGCTTTTCTGTTTTATTTAAGAAATACTCCCTCCGTCCCATTTTATATGATGTACTTTGATTTGGCACAAACTTTAAGAAAAATGGAAAGACTTTTAAAACTTGTGGTCCAAAATGAATGATAGAAATTTGTGTGGTTGTAAATCATTTCATTAAGGGTAAAAAAGACATTTTATAGGCAAATTGTTACTTAAAATAGAAATGTGTCATTCTTTTTGGGACTGACTAAAAAGGAAAGTAAGTCATATAAATTGGGACAGAGGGAGTATTATTTAAGACTGGTTTAAGAGTCGCCACTTAATTTTTAAGAAAAATCAAGAAAAACTGATTTTCAATAGATTAAAACAGTGAATCAATTGAAAATACTAAAGGGGGTTCGGGGGTTCTTATAAATATTCTAGGAAGGTTTTTAAGGCACCTAGAATATCCACTAATGTGGTTATCCGACGATTAACTACTTGGCTAAAATAATTGAACTTAATTTGATTTGAGCAATTTTTATTGTTAGAACCATATTAAAGGGAAATACTTAAATATTATCTAAGTGAGCTAATTTTTAAAACTTATTCTTTAAGTCTTGTTGAGTGATGACTGATTCAGTTAAATTGTTAAATCAAAATAGGCGTCTTTCGGGGATTTGAATTTTTCAACCTTAAGGTTAGCGACAAATATTAACAAGCACACAAATATAATAAAATAAAGAGGGAAAGAGATTTGGGCCCAAGTTTGGTTTTACTGTCCGCCTGGACCAATACTTGGGCCCACTTTCGTTTTGGGGTTTTCGGCCCATTTAAATAATCGGTACCTGTCCTAGTCTAACAAGATAATAACAAGGGCTTAGGCCCCCAAAATAACAAAAATACAATTCCCGAAACTAAGAGTGGGCCTTTGGGTCCATTTTCCTTCTTTCGTATACACTAGATGTCTACTAGTGTACACAATCCCATATGTCTGCTTCGAAGACCTGTACGCTGAATTCATGGAATTGCTCTTCAATTCTATTGGCTGGCCGACTCAATGAAGGATTTGAGCATTTATGGCTCTCTCGAAGTGAGGGGGAAGGAGATAGGAGTTCATAGTGAACTCGGACATATTTCACAAGCAAAACGATAAATAAGTAACAAAATTAGCATCTTCGGGAAGGAAATGAAGTGATAAGATAAAATAAATAGATAAGTAAAATAACATGCCAGTCAATCATTAACAACACAACGCCTAAACAATAATTTAAAAGGAAGACTGATGAAGACTTGTTCATTTTTACGTATCATGAATGAGGAGCAGTGATCAAGTACCAAGCATTAGAACAAAGGTCATATGAGATGTAAACTAATAAGCTCTTAATAAAGATTATTACTTATTACAAGATTAAAATAACTACTATGCAGGTTCAAAACAGAGAAGAAAGAAATTTTAATTATATATATAATATAAAAGAGATAGTGAGCAAATGTGGCATCTACTAAATGTGACTATTGAATGTTTATCTCAAAGCACAAGAATTGTTAGCTAAGCAAGCCTACAATCAGTAGTTTAAGTAAAAGGAAAGAAACATTCAAGTCACCTTTTGAACTTTTAAAAACAATATTATAAACAAGTTAAGGTAGGTAGGATTTAGTCAAAATATTATTTTTTACATAAGTGAGCTTTCTAAACAAATATAACAATAAAAAAAAAATTAGTCAATGACTCAAATTTTGCACAAGGGTATAGCCTAATACCGACATTATTTGGACAACTTTCTTATTACTGATTCTAACATTTACGACACCGAATTAAGCTATGTAGAGAAGAAAAAAGGCCGGTGATCACCAAAGCAAGTAAAAATATATAGCATCCTTAGCAACTGTTGAGACATGCTGAAATTAAAGAAGAATAAAAGCCAAAAGTATGGATGTACATTCACAGTTTTATGTATTCCCAAACTTATCGAAATTTGTTAAAAATATACATGAGGCTCACGGAGATATCAAATAGCAAAGTGGGCTGATCCATTTATCCTAAATGAGTAAACATACAAAATGAATGAACAAATACGGACTATGACATATTTTACGCATCCCGTAACCAAGAAAAAGTAGCACGAACTTACTTAAGGCATGTCAAACTAATCAAGATCAAAATTGTATACCATTTGGAACCAAACAACAAAAACAATTCCCATAATTCTGGAAAAATAAAAAAAAACACATTCAAACTAGACCTGGACAACATCTAAATAATTAGAGACAAAATCAGATAAACAAAAATGAAAGAATTAATCATACCACAAGACAACCATAACAAAGTTTAAGCTATACTAATCCGGACAAGACTATTGATCTAAACTCAAAAATAAGTGCAGGAAGAGCTAGATCCTACAAGACTGGTCTAATGTAATTTATGAGGGTCTATAACAGTGAATAAAAAATAAAGAGAAGACAACCAAGACCACAAATGACCAATAGAGAAGCAGAACGAGTCAAAAATTAAGCTACAAAGGGAATAATTTAAAGACTCATATTTAAACTAACACATGCTTCCATACATGAGTAATTTAATCAAAATAAGTTAGAACAAAATGAAACCAAAGAAACTCCGCAGCAACAAGTTTATCACACAACATTTAAAACATAAACAAAGCGCGGAAGAGGGAAGAGATATTACCTTTTCCGGGCAGCGAAACTGAGACAAGAACGAGCTTGGAGCGACTTCAACACAACCTTGAACTCGAGCACCAGACCAAAGAAAAGATCGAGTCGACCTCGAACGAGAACTTCTCGTATCCTTAAGACTAGGGAACCGTCTAAGACTTCTCAAGTGTAAATTTATTCCAAGAAATCCAACCCCCAAATCCCTTCCTTTTTTTTTTTTTTTAACATATGAAAAAAGAGCCACCTTTATAGGTAAAAACTCCAGCAGAAAATGGGGGGAAACGGATGAAAAAAACGGGCAGAGATCCCCCATCCCCAATTCAAACTTCAAAATTTATTCACAAACTTAGAGAGACAACATTTTTTCAAAATTTCGCCCCATTCCCAAAGAGGAAAAAGGGAGAAACGCGTGCTGCTGCGACATTAATGTGGATAGGGACGTCTGAAGAAGAAGCCAAATCTGTAGTGTACGTCTCTCTGCTCCTCGCTACTTTTCGTCTGATCGCTCTGTATTTTTTGTTATGAACGTTGGGGCTGCTGGGTTTGTATTGTGAAGGAAAAGGGGAGGTGGGCCGGGTTAAAGGGGGGAATTGTGGGTTGAGGCGGTAGGGTGAGAAATAAAAGAAAGGAAAAGGGAATTGGGGAAATTACGGTCGGTCAGGTATTGTTGTTGTTGTCAAGTTGTATTGTATGTAGTGTTACATGTGGGTGGGTTTTGGTATTAAATTTGGGCTGGGAATTATGGAATTGCTGATGGGTTTAAAGAAGGGATGGATTGTTGGTATTATATTCTGGGAATGGGTATTTGGAATCAGATAAATACAATGGGTTATGGGAGTTGGCAAAATGGCCTGATTTGGTCTAAAAGAAAAGAGTTCTATCGGATTTAACAATTAGCCAACTTTGATAAACTAGTGAATTCGACTAAAAATTAAATAAGACGAATTAATATAATTAACTAACGAGCTTCTTAATCTTAACGAAATAAAATAATCAACTTAATTATTAGTCAATTTGAATAACTCAAAATTATGACTATAAATACTACCAAACTATATTAATAAAATATTCATTTTAACAAAGTAGAAATCTTTTGAATATGATTTTTAAATATTATAAAATGTACTAATCATATATGTAATTATATGAAATATATTTATCATTCAAAATGCTATAAAAGTCGATTGAAATTATTCAACTAACCTTGAAATTATTTAAATTTTGTAAAGCTAATTATTCTAAATCATTTAGAATTTAAGAAGCTCGATGATTAATTTATATTGTGGAGGTCCAAAAATTGGGTGTCAACACTTGCCTTCTTGACCATGTAGTCTACTAGCTCATTAGTGAGAGACACTGTGGCCAAGGTCTCGATGCAACATATGTTTGTCGATGTCTGAGGAATGCGTCCATCAAAAGATGCAACAGGTTCAACATGTACATGCTTTAGCCTTGGCATATTCCAGATGGTCATCGGTAAAATTGTGCCACTGCCTACTGTTATTACAAGCAATACCTCTAGGTTTGAAAGGTTCGATATCCATAATGGCATAGATACCATATAGCCTTTGATTCCTAAGTACTTCAAATGGATCAGCTCTTTTGATCTCTGGAATGAACTCTCCGACATAGTACATTCCATTTGTAGTACTCTTAATAGTTTAAAGTTCTCAAGATCAAGAAATTCCTGGCAGCCAGATTTCGGGGGTCTGAAGAATGCAGATCGAACTTGCATGTTTCCAATCTTCCCTGCCCAATAAAGGCTATGATGAATGCAAAGCCTCCGGTGCTCATAAAAGGAACTAGACAAATCAGTCTTCCCGGTGCTTGTTAGTTGCATAAACTTCTCTTCCTTAGACTTTGTCACGCAAAAATCATGTAACATATCATGAATGCGGCATGTTCTGACTCCTCCAGTGGACTTTCTCTTGCTCACCATTATCAAGCTTCTACCGATGAGATCATTCAGTAAAATTTTTGCATCGAGCCCTATGTTTGGCACCAATCCCTCGATAGTCCATAACCATGCCAAGTTTGAGAGTGGAATTTCTTCATCCTCCTGAAATGATGCAAAATATAGAAAGCAGGGTTTGAGATGATCTGGCATGTGCTTGTAGCTCAGTTCTATAACCTCCATGCACTCTTTTGCACTAGTAACAGTATCTAACTTTATACTTTCTGCGATTCTTCTCCAACTTTCCTCATTTTCGCTTATCCCAGACAAAACTCCAGCAACCAAAATCACAAGGAGAGGTAGTCCTTTACACTTACTTGCGATGTTTGCTCCTACTTTTGATAGGTCAGGCGGGCAAGTTTGTTCCTTGAACAGCTTGATTCTCATTAGTTCCCAACTTTCATTTTCGTCAAGGAAACGAAGGTGAAGAGGTGCTCTATCAGGTTTAATTTTTGAAGCCACATCGCTGAGTCTGCTAGTTAATAAAATCCTGCTTCCGTTATTATCATCCGGTAAGCATCTTCTCAAGTATTTCCATGTCTCAACACTCCATATGTCATCAATGTAGAGAAGGTACTTCTTTCTTAACAGAAATTTCCGCAAAGCATCTTCTGGATTTTTCTCATTCTGTTGGTTAGAGCCTTTGACTTGATTCAAAATTCCGAGCGGCAACTTTCTTCTGTCATAAGTTTGGGAAACACAACACATAGCTTGGATGTCAAAATGACGCTGCATTTTCTCATCATGAAAAACTTTCTTTGCTAGTGTAGTTTTTCCAAGACCAGGCATCCCTACGATAGACACAACATCCAAGTTCTTTGGTCCTATAGTGAGCTGTTCGATTAGCAAGTCAGTCTCATCCTTAAAACCCACCATTACCTCATCAAGTTGTGTAGTCTCAACTACTTGTCTGACAGGATTTGGTGTTTGTTCTTCAATAGGGCCTTCAACTTCTTGCGTAATCGTAGCATGGAACTCTTTCAAATGATCCCTTACAACCTTAGTTTCTGTTGTGATCTTACATAACAAATGTAGATACCAAACAGGATAATCTCCGGTAACCAGGCAATCAATTATGCATTCTGCCTGGTATGCTAGAGATATGACTTCTGTCCATAGATCATGTTTCTTCACCTCCTCAAACTCATGTTTTTTCTTCTCAACTTCCTTCAAGAAGTATCTTAAGAGATATAACTCTTCCCGAGCTTCTTCAATATGATGCTTGACAACAGAATCACACTTTCCGTCTTGCAGCAGCTCTTT